TCACAAAACCCAACTCTCATGCCATTAGAAAGAGGATCATGAAAAACCTATAAAAAAATGGTTCATGAAATTTTAGTTCACACATAAAGCTAAAGTCCGCCTGCTCTAGCAAAAAATGCCCACTGTGTGTCTCCAACATCTATGTGATGTTTTGTAATATTTGTACGTCCAAGTTTAGACATGAATAAATCAGAGAGTATTTAACTCCTGAGATTTTTTTGCTTCTTTTGATTTTAACATAGCATTGGAGAGATCTAAGCTCTTCAAAAGTTGGATCTTGAAGTGTTCACTTAGCGGTATCTGCGCCTGTAAACGAGAAGATACATTTTTATAGATCTTGGTAAAATCTTTAATTTTAACATTATTGCAATCAATAGAATGGCCTTTCTGAGTTACATGTTCCCTGGTGAAACACATCCTGTAAGACCTGGCAAGATCTTATGTTTCGCTGTGAAATCTTGTAATAAGAGCTTATGATATGATCGTTCAAGATCTTGTTATAAGATGATATAAGATCTTATAAAACCTTAAAACTTCTTGTCATAAGATCTTCGAAGACCTGGTTATCAGGAGCGACAAGGTCTTGTAAGGTCTTATCACAAGATTTCATATGATCTTGTAAGGTCTTACATTATCTTGTGTCAGACATTGTTAACTTTCTACATATTTTCTTGTTACAAGATTATATAAAACCCTATCATAAGATCGATGACTCATCTCTACTACATAAGTTTTGTGCCGATATACAATATATATATATATATATATTATTCTCCCTGAGATACTTTAGATGAAACATTTTTCTATTTTCAACTTCACACGTCAACTGAGTCCCCAGGTGATTAAATCGTACTATCCGATCGTATACGAATCGCACTAAATCATATGCGATTATGTACGATTTACATACGAATCGTAGTACCTGATTTGTCCTCTGGTTCGTACTATACGATTTTATTCAAAGTTGTATGATCTTTTACGATCGTGTTATACGATCCAGAGGACACATCAGATACCATGATCCGGGTTCCCAATTGTTTTGAGGAGGAGGGGGGGCGGGCCAGCGGAGGCTAAAAGTTTTGCAGAAAGTCGATTTTTTTGTGTCGATAGCGACTTTCTGCGAGAAATTTGACAGAAAGCATCTTTGGTTTGAGTTTATTCGAGCAAATGCAGAACTTTTCTGCTAAACTGAACTTTAAAAATTTCCGAGAAACTTGACCATGACTCATGTATGATTTTCATACGATTTTGTCTGATTCAGATACAATCGTACACGATTTGTTTGACCTGGGTACGTATGAACTGCATGGTTCAGAAACGTGGCAAAAGACGTGTAGCCTGTGAAAGTTAGAAATTATATTAGAAAAACAAAATGCAGAGGTATAGTGGATTCGACAGGAAATGATCTTATAAGATCAGATGAATTCTTATACGACCGGATAATTTCTATAGTTTCTTTCTGTAGGTCTTATAAGCTCGTAGAAGATCTTGGAAGATCATACGATAAGAAAAATCTTATAAGAATCTTGCTACAAGACGCCATATGAAATCTTCTAAGATAAACTTATAAGATCTTTTGAAATCTTGTTATATGATCCTTGGACCTGGGTTTAATTAATGCTGTTTCAGCTTTAAATTCAGCTTGTATTGTTTTAGGCTTTCTTATTTAAAGAATAAGCAGGAATATATTATTCATCATATGTGGATACATTACATTTGTTCAGTCGTAAAAATTCTAGAATGACAAAAATTGATGAAATTTCAAAACGAATACCAGATATATTGCATTGCAAGACGGCATCTTTTGATGTTGTTAATTTATTCACAAACGTTCCACTAAAATACACTATTAATCTTACTTTAGATAAATTACACAGGATTTACTTCAGTTCGGACAAAAGCAGACTCTTACACATGATTCTATAGGAAAACAACTGATGAATTCTTATTGTGAACAGTTTTCCGAAAACTCACAAGTCTCTTCGGCTTATTCACCTGCCATAAATTAGTCTGGCTTCTACCATCACATTTTAGTTTGTAAGTTGCTATTACATCTATTGAATTGTGGTTGCTATATATACATCGGGGTGAGGCACACGTTCTTGGAGAGCTCTGACAAGAGATGGTTCTTATGCCCATAAGGATAGACTTCGTGGGCCACAATGTCCTGCTCCTGATGAAGACTGCGTTCAGCAGCTTCGACAAGGGGAGGTGCCACGAGGTGTGTGCGAACGTCCGGGGGATAGCAGAGCTGGTGGAGGTGTGCAACAAGATACTCGGCAGCATGTACGACGAGTGCGACGAGGACTATTTCTACGGACGCCTGAGGAAGAACTACTTCGGGACGTGCGACGAGAGCGAGTTCAAGGACGGTGTCCTCATGAATGGAAGCGCAGTCAGGCTGCCTGGTGCCAGTGCAGGCCAGAGCGCAACCATACGGACCCTAGATGCGTTCATAGTGACGAGCTGCGAGGAAGATAGCGCACCTTCTGAGCAGATGAGTTCATCGTGGGCTCCACGTCGGGGTACGAGGTTGACGTGGTTCTCCAAGTGACCAAGAGCTCGGAGAACAGGATGGGAAAGGCCATCAAGACAGGCGCGTGAGAGATAGTGAGTATAATTACAGACATAGCCGGTAGGCTGTCCAACTTCGGCGGCATCCACAAGATGATCACCGTGAAATACATTGTGGAGCCTTCTGGAAGGGAGAGGACGACCACGAACCAAGTGCATGGTGCTAGCGAGGGCGTGCCCGTTTGGCGGAGATGAAGCCGGCGATAGCTGCCCCAAGAGCGAGTCTGGGTCTGAGAAGGTGCTCAGGGACACTGGACAGACGCCGTTCATGGTTTTTCTGAGGAAGGTGAACAAGCAGAGGATCGAGAGGCACCAGCAGCTGGTAGAGCTGTCCAACAGGATGGCTGCATACAAAAAATGGTCTTAGTGTGCACCCGGCCATTCATTGATTCGCCAACCATCATCTCTCTACCAAACCTTTCCCAGCTTTGATCTAGTGCCGCCCAGCTTACAAATGCCACTCTGTGGCCTGGATGTTTACTGAACGACTCCCTTGCTGCCGCCTGCGGGCAAGCTTCTGTAGGGTCCCGGCCATAATAAACTTCGCCAAAAGCCATCCTGAATGACAAGGGGAGAGAGAACATACGAAGAGAACGGGAAGAGAGGCCCAACTCTAGCAGAAATTATAGGGCACACCATCTGTATCCCAGCGAGCAGCGAGGATCCCGAGACGAGAGAAGCTACATGAGGGGGTCCCGTGAGACGAGAAGAGGCTGCGTGCAAAGAAGCCACCATGTCTCAGAAAGAATGCCCAAGGAGACAGTTCCGTCGAAGGAGGAGATGGATAGGGTGCTCCTAGATTACATGGCAAAGAAGTGATGTATGAGTCGCCCTGGATCGGGCTCTGCAGGTGTGACTGGAGAATATATCATGTTACCACTTTTATTCATAGGGATCTAATCCACAACACACAATCATCCAGAAGAAGGCGGTTTAGAGGTGCTCGCTGGAATAGCGGGCCTGCGGGTAGCATGGTGAATAAATGGCTTTCTGCAGAGCACGGGGGCCTGCCCAAGCTACCTAAAGCACCGCACAGCTCCCTTTCCCCTCCATGCCCAGAAATAGATGTTAGGAGAGCTCTCTATCATGAGATGAGACATGCGTATCGTGGTCAAATGAAACATGCAGTAGATTGACGAAGACCTTAAGATGGTACAGGGCCAGAATCAGACGATATCTGCCTTGCAGCTTTGAGGTCCATAGGTGCTTGAGGCACAGGTACGGTCTTAGATGTTTATTCAGAGAAAGGATGGTGCCTGATTAGGCGCATGATGAGCATGGAGGCTGCGGCTGCTTGGCTGCGTTTGTGGCGAGATACGCGCTTCGGTACTCGATTCTCACCAACTCATCGATCTCCCGGTCGTTTTCCTTCTGCCTTATAATCTCCAAAGTCCTATCTTGAACCTTCTTTGGAAGCTTAAGGAAGTTTTTAGAAAAAACAGACATTTTCCCGACATAGGGGATATACATCTACACCCTTTCCAAGTCCAGAGTCTCGTGGAACCCAATGTTGTCGTTTCCAGTTACAATAAGGCAGAATATGTCGTTGTTCTTGTCGTTGCAGATACTCGCTAGCTCGTCGTAGTCATTCACCCTCTTTACCTCCGTGAGCGTCTCTGACTCGCTGACAATGACGTGCAGGCTCGTGTATAGGTTGTTGCAGCCGTTCTTGGCATCGAAGAGAACCAGCAGCTCATCACCAAAGACGAAGCTGATCAGCATGGAAAAAAGAAATTTTCATGGGTCTAAGTCCTTTCCCTATCAAAGGTTTAATTAGCAAAACATGCCTCTAAATCAGCTGAGTATTGGGGTTGAGCTGCTGAACAACCCGTCTGTGCTGTTCCTGGGCGAGCCGACCAGCGGCCTGGACTCGTTCAACGCCTTGAACATCCTCGAGACTCTGTGCAAGCTGAAGATGCTTGCCAAGTCGGTGCTGGTGACCATCCACCAGCCATCCTCCAAGATGCTGGAGTTCTTCGACAAGATAATACTGATGGGGCAGGGCTCGGTCATATTCAACGGCAAATACGGCGACTGCATCGCCTTCTTCAGCGACCTTGGGTACAGGTGCCCTGAGTTCGCAAACCCGTCGGACTTCTTTCTGGACACAATCAGCCTGAACAGGCTGCTCAGGGACGCCGGGACACCGACGTCCTCGGCCGCAGCATCCCCGGGCTGTGCATCCTCGGGCGTCTCCAGGAACATCCTCAGCTTGAATTTTATCGACTACTCATCAGAATCATCAGTTGACTTTTTTTGATAATCTATAGAGAGACGCAGAATGTTCGCCTCTATCAAACGATGATATCCACAGACCGATAGCTATTTCCATTAAAGAGTTATCAAGAAAACAACTACTCTTCGTCTATTTTGAGATAGATAATATTAAGAAAATATCGATACATATTGTTGAAAAGAGTTTCAGAATATACTTTTGGGGATATAACGATATAAAGAATATTTAGTGTTAAACAAGAGTTATTGGAGAGTACTTCTAATTCATCTATATTTGCTGCTCGTCTGAAATAGAAGTGATTCCAATGTTAAATAGACATTTACAAATAAATACGGGAGAAAAGATGTTGCAAAACATAAAAACTAGAAAAAATTTCAACAAATCTCAAAAAACTTCAAAAAATTTAAAAAAGACCATAAAAACTCCACAGAAATCTAGAAGTCATAAAGTCGCTTTTCTCCCTTGAAACAACACGATAAATTCGAAAAATGATTGCGGATTCATTTGATAACATCGTGTCAACATTAAAATATTGATTTTTTTTTCTGTATGAATATATTTACTTTTCTTTCTGAATAGTAAAAATCTTTCTAATCAAATTCGGGTATTCTAACTTCCTTTCTAATCATTTGATCTACTTCCTTAATATCAGTTTGGAAGATGATTTTCAGTTCTTCTGGTAAAAGATAAAAAGTATCTCGAATTGTGAGCATCTTAGCTAAACGACCAAATATAATATTATCTTTAACATTATTTATCGCAAGAGAAAAATTAATTCGAAGTTTTTCTAAAAGAAGATGATAAATTTTAGTATACTTTGGATAACCATTTGATGAGACTATTTTTAATTGTTGTAAAAGATTTTGTGGTGAATCTTTTAAATATTTATTAATATCGACAAAATCATACTGTTGTAAAATCTCATTAGGTAATTGACTAATTCTTTTCTTCATATCATCAATATTCTTTTCAACAGATTCTGATCGATAATGATTAGTTAATTCTTGTAATGTACGAATTAGATATTCCATTGTTTTTTCTACCGAAAGAAAATCATGTAGATTAAGAAATATTTCAATCGATTGAAGAATATTTGAAATTTTTTTTGTTAAAATTTGATGAATTTCATTTGATAAATTTTGAAGTAAAATTTTTATTTGTTGATCAATCAAATTTTAAATATTTGTTCGATGAAGAATAGTTTGAACTTTTTCAAGATTTTCTACAATTTTTAGAAGTGTATTTTGATTATCTATCACATGTTCAATGTTTCCATCCAATGAATTGGCAAATATTTTGGTATTTTTTATCATCATTTGTAAAGTATTTTCTAAATTACTTTTAATATGTGATATAATTCTTGAATTTGGTACTGTTTCTATAATATCTGAAAGTTTAAAATCAACATTAATAAAATCTTCTTTTGAAATCGCATCCAGTGCTATTCGATATGCTTCTTCAGATATTTTAATTAAATCTAATTGATATTGTTTATATGAAATTTCAAATTTATTTATTTCTAACATTCCCGTAAAGAATTGATCTAAACAAATTAATGATTGAATAATAATTAATCGATGTTTAAAGTCTTTATATCTTCCATTGATTTTATCTTCTTCAATTTGATAAAGAAGCGTATGATGATAAGTGAGAAATTGTCGTTGCCAATATCCAAGTTTTTTTCTTCCATTTAGATATTCAAAAACCAATGAATATTTTTCAAGTACTATTAATTGACGAAAATACTTTTCTAATCCTTTTGAATAATAATTATAATCAGTCTTATCTATATTGGTGATATATTTAAAATATCTTTCAATTTCTTTTTGAAGAAAACTTCCATATTCGAGAATATATTTTTTTAAATATTCATTTGTATCACTTGCCAATTGTCTTATATCATTATGTGTTATTTTTTCACAATGATTAATATAAATCAATGCATTATTTGTCATTAATACATCAAATTCATCATGGAAATAATAGATCTGTTTCTGTTTTTCATATTCATTAAGATAATTCGTTTTTTCTTCAATTTTTCTTTCTAATAATTGATAATTTTCAAATCCTTGATCATTTAGAAAATGAATTGCTTTCAAAAAGATTGATTGATATTGATCGACCAAAAATAGATATTCTTTTTTAATAGATTCAAGATGTATTAAATTATGATGAAAATCTGTTTTATTTATTGTTATCATTTCAATGATTTGTTCAGAAGTCGTTTGAATAAGTTTGAATTTTTCTTTGACAATTGTTATATTTGAATAACCTTTTTCTTTTAAATAATCATTGAGTTGATTTTCAGTTCGTTGAGATCCGCTTGTTATTTTATTTATAACACGACCAAAAAGATTTCTTGAAACTTTGGAAAGTATGAATTGTTCATATTGTTGAATTATTGATTGAAGTTCTTTGATTTCGAAATCTAATCGATTCTTTTCACTTTCAGCTTCTTCAATTTCTTTTTCATGTTGAATTTTAATTATTTTCATTTGATCATTTAATTGATTTATATCCGAATAACCTGATTGTCGTAAATAACGCATAGGTGGATATAAATTATCATATTTATTCTGCATTTCTTTTAATCCTTTTATTTCATTTTCCAAATGATCAAGAGTTTTTTCAGATAAATTAAAATTTCGATGAATAGACTGAAATTTATCTCGTATTATCTGAAGAAAATATTCATTTATTCGTTCTCGATGTATTTTTAATTCCGGAAGACTACGTTCTAAATCTTTCATTAAATCGATTTTCTCCAGAATGTCGTGAGCTAATGGAATATTTTGTGGATATTGTAAATTTAAATCCAATTTTCTTAAATCTGATTCATATTTTTCAATATGTTCAATTAATTCTTCTCGAATATCACCTATCATTATATCAAAAGTACCTGGAGAAATTCGATCAATCTATTGTGTATTTTTCAAACGTAATAATAAACGTGAAAGTGGTCGAATATTAATTGTATTAGATTGAAAATCTAAATTATAAAGTATTTCTTCAATTTCTCTTTGTAATCTTCGTATTGATAAACGAATATTTTCTATCATTTGATAAAAACTACGAGCACTTTTCGATTCAATATCAGGTAATACACGAATTAATTATAATTGATGAACTAACTGTTGAACAGAATCAAAAGAATGATGTCCATTTTTATCTAAAAGTTCTTTTATTCTGAAAATAATTTCATCAACATATTTCATCACTTTTCGAATTACTTCATCATAAATTTCGTTTAAATTTTTCATATTTTCGATTTTCGATAATTGATTTTCAAGTAATGGTGTTTCTTTTGCTAATTTTAATAAGAATAAATCATTTTGAAGATTATCAATATCGTTATCAGTTAAATTTATTTGCAGTAAAAGAGAATTTGATCGATTTGAAATCTTTTCGAAATTTTCTATAATAATTTTGATTATTTCGTGATATTTGTTCTCGATTTTTCTATTTAAATGATCATTTAATATCGGTATGCATTGAAGTATTTGGTCGAGAATCTCAGTTAATTGTTTAAACCCATTTTTTGAAATCAATTCTACAATTGATTGTCCGAATGTCAATTCAAAACGTTGGTTTAAATCTTCACAATATTTTAGATATGAAGATTGTAGTTCTTGAAATGAATTTTGAAGAAAATGAAAATTATCTAAATAGATACCGATCGAAGGATTGAATAGATCGAGAGTAACACCAATATTTTCTAGTTCAAAACGAAGATTTTCTATAAATATATCAACGGATATTAGATTAGATCCCAAATGATCTCTGAGTTGTTGGATTCGTTGAATATAATCATGTGCCATTTGATATTCTTGAATATCTTCATTTTTCAATTTATCTTCATTTTTCAAAAGACGATTTAGCTGTTCGATTACTTTACTACAAAATTCTTGAATATTTTCACTAATCAATCGTAACGAATCTTTATATCCATCTTGAACAACACTTTGTTGTATTATATCAGATAACAATTTGAATTGATTCAGATAGTACAAAAGAAGGGAAACATTTTTATGTTTTAATGCATAGATAATACTACATTTGTATCGTTGGATTTGATTTGATATGACTACTTCTGTCTCATGACTAATAGAAAATTGAAAGACTTCATCTGGATAACGAATACTTTTGAGATTCTTGAGTTTTTGGATAATACTCTTTGGATTTCCATCAAGAGGATCAATTGTCATTGCATCATGTCGTGTTTTCTCAATCATATCAGTCAATACTGCTACGAATGCACTATTGGATCGTAATAGAGGATCTGAATCTACTCGTGAAGTCTTAATATCACTCAGAATTGCATGAATATCTACTTTTGATGGATATTTTGTAAATCCATACAAAATCGCATCGAGTCGATCTTCTAATCCATGAATCATATTGATTAAAATATGTGCTAATTTTTGAATACCTTCTCCTCTATCTCCTAAACTTCGATAACTGGATAGAGCTAAGATTTTAACACTTTTACAACCTTTCAGAACAGCGATCACACCCACGATATTGGCAATATCAAGTTCAGGATCTTCTGTATCACAAAAACCTGGTGCATCACATAGAATCATTTCGTTCGTCTCATAAGGACCAATGATATCTTTTAAGGAAATAGTAACTGGAACTAAAAAGCGAGTTTCTGACTTACTGAATGGACTACTTTTTACACTAATCAATCCAGGATTGGTGACAGGTCCATCTATAGTGATATGTTCTAAAAACTTTTCAGGAGCGATTTCTACTCGCATTTGTTTCATTTTAGCACCTGAGAGAAACTGAACAGTTGTTGATTTTCCACTACCTGTGATACCTATTAAGAGAACGATGTCTTTATCATGAATCAAAGCAGCTGTTTGTTCGGATCTTCTAATGTGTCGTCGTATTTCTTGTAGATTTAAAGGTCGAATTTTTTTCAAGATTTTATTTAAGTTGTTGAGCGTAGATGAACAGTCCTGATTATACATTGTTCGATTTACCTCTTGAAGATTCATTTTCATCTGTTCCGAAAATAGTTCTTCATTCTGAAGCTGAGTTTGTACTTTAGTTAATTTCAACTGGATCGAATCTAACGTATTTTCATTTATATCATCACCCAATAATCTCTGATGAAAATATACTAACAATTCCATTATAGTTTTCTCTGCACAATCAGGTATTTCGGTCAACTCCTGACGTAAATTGCTTAGATCGATTCGCTGAGATTTTTCTTCGTTATTCGAAATGAGACCAATCGATTTTCGACGGAATATTTCACTGATAATTATTTGTACTAATTGTAAATCACGCAAATATCTCATTTCTTGTTTCGCTGCATCTATTCTATATTCATCTTGATACTGTTCAATACGTTTCTCTGCCCGTTCGATTCTCTCTATTATCTGTATCATATCTCTAATCTTACATTTTTCGAAACCATATCTTAATCGGTCTTCTAGTTCGTTCATTTCTAATCTGTCAATATTCTTTGAAAGATATTCAATCGATTGTAAAACCATGTCTTCACGAAGTACTTGTAATCGTTTTACCTCATTCAGATATTGTCTCTCTTCCTCAGCTTCATCATTTCTAGTCTCGTCGGTATACTGTTGAATTCGCATTTCTGTTCTCTTTATTCTGTCGAATAACTGTGTTACATCTTTGATTTTACATGACTTTAAACCATCTCTTAATCGATTTTCTAATTCAAACAATTCGAATGGTTTACCGTTCGCGGCAAGGCATGCAGCTCTCGTTGAAACATTTTCATGTCGTCCCATTGAACCATTGTCTTGTTCACTTACAGCTAAATTGTCATTTGACTCCGTGTTCACGATGATTCCAATTGAAGATTGATTCGCTATTGAATAAATTTACGCTGGATAATGATAAACCGTCCAAATTAAAGGGTTACCGCTTTTTCAACTTTCTTGTTTTTGCTTTTTAATGCTTGGATGAGAATAAAATTGAACTCTGCTCAATTAACCGATTGAATCAGTTGAAGTTATTCATCTGTTTGTAAATTGATTGAAAACTGATAACCCAAAGTCACTACTCTAAATCGTATAGGATGAGTTTACTATGATTCTTTAATTGACATCACTTTACTTGTTCTTGGAAATAATGTTTCAGTGGACCTTCGACTAACACCAATAGCAACTAACAGACTTATCCGTTCGAGAGATTTGGCAATGTTATCGACAGCGGTTTAATTGAGCGGATAGATGTTTTCCAATAGACTATGTGTCCTAATAGGAAACAATTGGAATATTGAGTTTTCAGCACTTCGCGAAAAATGTGCTACTGAAAGACTGATAGAAATACAGTGCCCCAGCTGACGTCAATGATTCTAGAAGAATAAAATTAATCTATTTTAGGTTCACGCCTTTGAACAAACAACTTGTTACTACTAGCATTAATGCATCAGAATGCCCATGCATGAAAAAATCAGCTAGTAGCGCCCGCTGCAGCTAGCTACACTAGCTTCATAGCCCACTGCACACAGTGGGCAACTAAGCGGACATTAGGCCAAAAAGTCGATTTTATCTATCTTGAAATACAAATAGTGCAAAATGTAGCTCTTGAAATTCTCTATCGAATGGTGTATAAACGTCTATTGTGAAAC